TCGCCTAGCTGTTCTTGAGAAGAAGATTTTTAAAGACATTTCCTATATATTCCTATGGTAAACTTTGACCTACTGTTTTGGCCCCGCCCTACCCCCAGGGTTCATGATTCGAACAAACTTGAATCTACACTAACCCAGTGGTTCTCGAGAAGATTTTTAAAAGATGCCACCAAATTTTCACAAATTCTTAATTATTTTTCCTTGAAAGAGGGTGTGGCACTTCCTGTGAACAAACTTTAATCCCCTTCACCCAAGGATGCTTTGTGGCAAGTTTGATTGAAATTGACCCAGTGGTTTTCGAGAAGAAGTCGAAAATGTGAAAAGTTTGCAGACGACAGACACCAGACATTCTTCGATCAGAAAAGCTCACTTGAGCCTTCGGTTCAGGTGAGCAAAAATTGTGGTTATTCAAATACAATTACCCTTGATATTACAATGAATGTACCTTGACATTTGATCCCTCCACTTGAAAGCTTCCAGGTTTTGTTGCACAGCTCGAACTCTTACCGACTTCCATTAGATTTCTTATCTCTTGTACTTCTTGTCTTAAACTACAGACCTCATCATCTGCAAGAGATTCAAGAAGCTCATTGATTGTACATTCAACTGACTCATTTTAGCCTTAAATTTTTCAAGATTAAATTTTGAAGACCATCTCCCATTTAGAGTGTTGAGTCCTCATTATAGCCCCAAGACATTATGAACAAACCTGAAAATATGCAACAAGGGCACACTAATATCAATATGACTGATTTGGCTTTGCTGTTCTGACTAGTAGAAGTGGTTTAAAGCAGATTTTATTGCCTTTACATAACTGTGACGTATAATTATTTCCTTTGTTTTAGCCAAATCCTGTCCATTAGAGCCATGTCTTTGTGTGGGTGGGGGAGTATATCAATGGTTTAAAAAAAAATCATCCTTAATAACTTAACAATTTATATTCTCCCAGTCCACCTCCACCACATACACACTTGCATCATTGCCTGTAAAATTACTAGCTGTTACAGGCCTTCCATTGTCGGAACCCACTGGTTTTTCTCTTTGTTACACTACATTTGACGTTGAATGTAGTACGTGTAACGGAAAGAAAACTCATGGGTTTCGACGATGCAGCCCTTCTTAAGAAGCATGATTTCATTGATAAAAAGTTTGATACTCATAATTAGTTTTAAAAAGTTGACAAGGTAAAAGAAATATTATTACTATTCAAATACGGTAGATGTAAAATATTAAATACCACATGTAAACAAGAACGGTTCTTGTTGTGATATTATGAAATTATGTGGGTTCTTAATTAATCCTCTATTAACATGATTAAAAAATGTATAAAACACATAAATATATATCTTGTAAAAATAATGACAGGGGTTCTTTTGATAAAAGCTTGAGGTCCTGGAAGGATTTTTTTTTAATGATTTTTTCTCTCAATATTTTTTTTTTAAATGTTAAGTAAAGTTGAATACTTACAGATCATCTTCATGGTTACTGGTCTTTCCAGTGGAGGCAGATTAGGATTGGCAGAATGTGAATCTTGTGAACCCTTCAATTTAATAGTACTTTTACGATTACATTTTTAAAACTAATTACTTGGAACATACATTAATAAAATCGAGTTTAGCACACTGGTTTAATAGGAACAGGAGGGAGGGGGTGTGTGCCCCCAAAACATTTTTAATCTTGTCGACATACATGTACATATATATACTATAGAAAATCAGCTACTTCATGCTCATGCCCCCCCCCCCCCAAATGATGCTATTATTCTCGTGTTAAGAATTTTTGCTTGGCAAATTGCCCTAATGAAAATATTTGATTGAACCCCCCCCCCCCCCAAAAAAAAGAAAAAAATATTTATATTTATATATATATATATATTGCATCCTACAGGTAACTTACACGGAACAAATCTAGTGATTCTTGGGAATCGCTTGCCATTCTGATGTCAGATGAGTCTCAGCTTGTGTATCGACATAAATAAAATGGATTGTTACTAAATTAAACAATATTTCCACATAATTAATTATAATAATTTAAATACATGTGTACTTAAATGAAATAGAATTACACTGCTTACTTTTGTCTTTACGCTCTCTCAGTCTCAGACAGATGATCAATGACGTAAAATATTACGTAGAAACGTCAACATTGGGAACCGACAGGATGTGTAATCGAGCCATTTTTTTCATGTTTCATATTATTTTGATATTGATGAAAATTGTTTTATTTTCTCCATTTTTAATTTCCTATGATATAAATTAAAGGAAAATTTCACGAAGAACGTATTGTATGAATGACATATTCAAAGTCATTTTTGTTAAGTTTTCCCAATTCCGAATTCCCTTTCGATTTTTTTCGCGCGATATTTCAATCTGACAGACGAGACAGCATGATGAGATAAAATGAAGAGACGTGCAGAGGATCCACTCTTTTGTCAATTATGCAACTTCTCGACAAATTTCAGCAGCCTCTTTCAGAGACACCTGAATACAGAAAAACATCTCCGTAACTGCAGAATCGTTGCATTTGAGACTCGACAGAATTTTACTGACCGTAGCTGCAGTGATGCAAAACCCGACAGTGGCGACACGGAATTTTCCTCAATTCAGCTTACGGTATGTTTCATTTAATAACTTATCTTTGTAAATATTGTCTGCAAAAAATAAAAAGACACGGAGTTTTGTGACAAACAATATATAATTATACATGTATCCGATATACTTGCATGCAAAAAACATCGAGTGGTGATACGTACCCGGTTTATTTTATCTGTTTATTGTACCGTGGTGTTGATATGTGACATAAAATAGGCTAAATCGTTATCATTTTTCATGCCGACCCTCATATATTAAGCTAAAAATACAGGAACAATGACGTTGCATGTAAATTTTATCAGCAATTAAAATTAAATCATAAATATCTTTAATCTTTCAAATATTTTAACTAATTCAGACTAATGCCAACTCGGATAATGTTGAGGAAATGATCAATGATCAGGAGAGCTCCACCTCCTCTAATGATGATGATGGTGATGATGATGATGATGATGTAGTGACCAATTCTCCAAATGATCAGCCAATTTGGTTTCCATTTTCGTCTAAGGTACAGATGTACTTGTATATATTGGTACACTCAAACACGCACACAATAGTAAGTGCCAGTGAGAGAGAGGGAGAAAGAGAGAGAGAATTCTTTATGTTAAAACTTATCCATAACTGATTAGAATAATATTTTTTTTAAGAGTGATGAAACAGCCAAATTCATCTGGTTTATTATGAAAGCGGAATAGAGATGCCATCTTTCTCTTCAGTCAAAAACCTACGAATAAGTGGTGATATGACACCTGAGAGTATGTTGTCTCGTGTAAGTATCATGAATTAAATCACTATATAACATGACAATGAACAAGAAAGAGAGAGAGAGGATCTCCCATAGTTTTTGACTGGATATGAATTTCAACCAACAATAATAGTAAAGATAGAAATTTAAAATGTCAACCATAAAACTGTGTCCAGGCCTCTTTAATACACAATGTATATAATTTTTATCCCATGTTTACCCCATTATCCCGTGGATATCACTCACTAGATATTTTTGATATCCCACATTTGTGACATCGCAATGGGTTTTGTGTGAGAACAATGAAGTAAAATAAAGTGGATTCATATATAAAAAACAGTGTAAATCATTCATAGTGATTTATAAGACATGGGATATAAAAAAATCTTCCAAGATTTTTATCCAACTCGTGTGTTTTTATTCCCTGGCCAAGGCTAGGGGACAAAAATCACGCAACTCGGATAAAAATCATATCCAACCACAAGACATGGGAGATCCTATATTACCAACTGAAACTCTACAGTGCTTTTTTTGTTAAACATGTTATACATTAGTAGTTTCAACTGTGTACAGTCTGAATAAAATGTTTTGCCATTTTCATCTATTCACTAGCCATCTTTTGATTGAAATGCAATTGATTTAAAATACAGACTGATCATTAATAGATAAGGCCAAATAAAAAAAATATGTGTGGTTCCGGTTACCCGACCGTCCCTATTTTATACCCCCGACCCTAAACTTTTTTTTGGCAATTTTCATTTTTTTTTTCGGAATTTTCTCCGATTTCCATCAATAGCTTCGGTTTAAGTTTTAGTTTCAGCAATGACAGCCTCCTTGCAAAACATAGTGCAAGTGTTTAATAGTGTTAAATCCAAAGCAAGCTAGCATGTAGGTGTCCCCTACCAATATTTACTAGTATTTTATCACACCACATCTAAATGCCACTTGCAAAGCAGTGATAAGTATTATTTAGAAACATTTAAAAATCATTTTGTTAAAAAAAAAAAAAATTCCCTACCTACGTACCCTAATTTTCTTGGAGGTGTAACCGGAACCACACATATCTTTTTATTTGGCCTAATTGATATATGATTTTGACTTTTTAGGAAGAAAGTAGTGATGGTAATCCTTTTTGGATAATCAAGCCAACTGCCTTGCTTAGCATGACTCTATCACATCCCGACACTGCTACAAGCCTGCTTAGGTACAGTGATTTAAGTAAATTTGTACCATAACAAAGCAATTAACATGATTAATACATGTTTATATATACATGCATAATTTCAAAGACATATTTATGTTGAATTGTTAAGATTGTTTAGTCTTTAATTATCTTTGAGTGGATCACGGCGTAAGATCTTATTTAGGTATGGCAGATTATCAAGTGATGGCCAGGTTTTGTTGAAAGAAAAGTTAGATGGTAGTAAATGGGTTCATGAAATTAGGTCACATTATGCATCAAATGGGAAAAATACTTTCTTCTCAGGTAAGTCATTCATGATTCATATAATATAATAATCTGCTTTTATAACCTAATGGAATTGAATGAAACTGAAACATATTGAAAATTGCTGAACTTAGAAAGATATATTTCAGATTACTGATCTTAAGTAGATTAATTGATTTCAGCATGACTTAATAAAATAGTAAAATTAGTTGATCTATCACAGGTGACTTTGTTTCTTCATCTAATCATGATTCCCAAGACATTGGCCAGATTTTTACTTTCCTGCAAGACATTCAGGTATTAGAGATATATCATTAGGCCATCATTTAAAATATCTTTGTTTATTCTAACCCGACCCAAAAATCTCAAGTTGAGTAGGTAGGTAGGCAATTTTTTTATTTTGTTTTTGACAGCAGCTTTGAAAATATATTCTTAAAATTGAATGGAATGATACCTTTATAGATACATGTAAGTTAAGTAGTAAGTACAGAAGAAAGCGATTTGTAAACAGCTAGAATACCATACAAATGCCGTTAGGACTAACATTTAAGGTAAATTAATTCACGACTATTATTCAATCGAACTTGTGAAATATCTCATACCAGAGTAAATTTGTTGAAATTAAATGCATTAGTTTAAAAGATTCTCGGGTACGCAAAGACTGGATATACAAGTATTTTTTGTCATGCCTATTATCAGCTTTCAGTGCTTACACATGCAATGTACTTTTTCAAGGGCTTAATAGGTCATTGTATATTTTATTTTATTAACGAAGTGTTTCAAGAGTGTAGGATTCTTATATGCTAAAGGCATAAGTTTGATACGTCGTCTTTCTTTTAAAACATGAACTAACACTCCGTTACCGAGACATGTTGTGGGCGCCATTTTAATTCCAACAAACGCTTGAAAATCACAGAACAAAAACAGTCGTTTTGATAAGAACGGATCTTGGTGGAAGTCTATTTTATAAAAAAAAAAGTTCATAAACCAAAAAAAAAAAATTGGAATAATCTTATGAAAAAAACTTTCCAGTCGGCGCGTTTTAATTGGGTCGGTCGCGTTAGGGGAAACAAAGGTATTTTTTATTTTGGCCTTAAAAAAAAAAAAAAAAAAAAAAAAAAAAAAAAAAAAAATATATATATATATATATATATATATATATATATATATATATATATATATATATATATATATATATATATATATATATATATATATATATATACACAAACAAATGAAATCCCTTCGTATATACATATATTACCAGTACATTAAATTTATATTATAATTGTGCATATGTATAATTACAGAATGATATTATATATGCCAAAGTAAAAATCTTCAGAGCAAATGCTTGTCCAGGACTTGCAGGAAAAAGGTATGTTTATGCAATGTTAAATATATGTCTGTTTGGCTTTCCAGTTCTTCATGCTTCTTAAGCACTGTCTGTAAATGCATGTATGTAGATGTATCCACCTCTATAAAAGTTACATCTGCTTGATTAATTTTTATTAGAATCATATTCATTTACATTTCACTTTAGCTTGGTTTACTTGGAAACTTCAGAGATGTGGAATATTTGTCATTTATCACAAGTACAGAAAGTTCATGAATATACTTTCTACAAATCATTCAATGGGGAAGTGATTCGGATAGCAGATGATGTAAGTACATGTACTATTTGACATTAATATTTTTACACAATAATCTACGCTTTGGACTACATTGTAGACCTCATTGTAAATTGAATTGCTGTTAGTTCGATAATGAAATTGTTATTCAGGGACATATAAACTGTGAGTGATACGGCAAGATCTCCTTACCATTTATATCACATACTGTGAGATTCATGACATTTTTAAATTCATATAGGAAAAGAACACTATTGTTTATCAAAATCCACATAAAGTGAGAGGTCTGCCAGTCTACACTGTGCCGCTGAATTTGTTCATGGATGATACTAGTGCGAATAAGTCTAAGAAATGGAAACCCCTCCACTGTGTGCAATTACAGCTTGCAGGAATTCCAAAAGCAAGGAAACAGAATCCTGACACCATTAAATTTGTCAGTGCTTCCACAGAGGTGCCTATCCTAGAAATGGCCTCTTCTGTCATTGATGACATAAAGAATTCTGAGGGGTAACGTTGTATTAAATTGAAATTGACACATGTGAATGAGAAAGCAAGAAATGAAGAAATGAAACAAAATTATATATATATATATATATATATATATATATATATATATATATATATATATATACATATATCCATGTATGATTTAGGTCTTTTTATTTTTCATGCTTTTGTTTTATTTTCATTTTGTTAACTTCTCCAACTGACTTATCTAATAGAATAATTTGTCATGATTCATGCTAAAAAGGTTGCAGTACTTGGGTAAACATTTTCTCTCTCTTTGGTAGTGGCATTTTGACTTTTGATGCACAAAGGAGAGAAAAGGTGACCATCATACCTTGCATAACAGTGTGTGTCTGTGACTTCAACATGTTGGCTGAAGCATCAAATCACATGGGAGCAAACACAAACAAATTTTGTCCCAGGTGTTATGTAAGTTTTTAAAACAATTTTGGGATATAAATGCCCACCAGGAACCCTCAAACACATACATACATGTGTATGTTTTAGTTTTCATTTTGTCCTACATTGTGTATCTTAAACCTTTAGTGGCTTTACTTATTTTAAGGCTGACAAAGATTCTTCTATATGGAAAGGGGATGAAAGACATCCTGCAGAAACCCAGAGAATATTAGGTCATTTGTCCATGAATAACAACAAAGAGATGAGACAGAATCATGGACTCAAACCATATTCAAACCCTCTTTGGAACATTTTGAATCCACATAGGTAATGACTATATATATATATATATATATATATATATATATATATATATATATATATATATATAGTGTACGTCGATATGTGGTTATAAGGACCCATGTCAAGTCATAATTACCGAAGAAACAGAAAGTGATATCGACCGAGCCTAGTCAAAGGTGTCTAAGGTCAATATCATTTGACATGGGTCCTTATAACCACATATTGACTGTTAATGATCAAGTATAAAACGTCTTATAAACTGGATGTTTTTATTTTAAGCTTCTAAAGAAATTTATAAACCTGCTGTTTCTAAAATTGGAAATGTTCTTCTCAGAAGCAACAATAGTACTGATGTCTCAATAGTCTTTATAAACTGGATAAACAAAAAAAAAAACAGATACTGCAGCTGCTATTTGTAAATGTGACGTTCTAATGCGAATGACATAACAATGCCTTATACATGTTATATGAGAAAGTATTGAGTATTAGAAATATGGAATTTAAGACATTTCAAATTGACTGATAAAAAAATAATAAAACTATTGTAGCCTTTTGAATCGGTACAATTCCTAGATCGATATATAGACCTAAGAGAAAGCACTTTGTGCTCGGTGGATATGGTTTCTCTAAGTCTATATATCTAGGGATTGACCTCATCAAAAAGCTATAGTTGTATAGTAATCATATTAGTTATCCAGGTCCGAAGGGTGTATGGAATACAATCCGGGGTGAATCCGCGTACACCCTCGATTGGACCTGGATAATGAATTTATTTCCTATGTAACCAAATAAATTCTTTGTAAACAAGTCCAATCAAATATGTTTCAAGCTATCAATAAGATTTTCTACATCCTACAATGCATCGTGACATTATGTTATTTGGTTTTTATCATAGAGAAACTGTGCATTGTGACGTCATGTCTTTTACCCCGGCTCAAGTCGGGTGGATGGAAATATACACCCGACTTTGTATCCAATCAAAGCTCGTGTTACAAGCTGCATAGGAAATAATGTATTTTATATTTACATGTTCCTTTATTCTTAACATTACTAAATGCCATACATGTATTTGAGATGATGACCAGACTCCGTCTATCTGATATCTAGTTGTCAAAAATTTACTAATGTGACTTGACATATCATATCAATCGTGATATTTTCTATGATTATTGACACTTCATTTTCATTGCGATTTGTTTGCTTTTATAAAATTTAAGAGACATCCCTGTTGGAATTCTGCACTGATTGTTCCTTGGTATTGGAAAGCATTTATTGAAAGCCTGTATACAAGATTTACTAGAAATTAAGCAAGAACAGCTATGCATGTTGATTGAAAGCTGTGACCAGAGTGCCTTCGGAACGAAAGTGTCGAGTGACACCATTAAATACATAGACAGTCGCCAAGGAAAAGATATTAAGACATATGTAAGTGTATTGAAATTAGAGAATAACTATTTCCTTATTTTTTATTTGCGTCCATTAATGCTGATTTAATAGTAGCAAACTGATCGAGTTTTACCAGCGACAAAGTGAAATCAAAACCACTGTAATGTAATCCACTTTTGGAGTAGTTTCAAATACAGTTGTACTTCAAAATGACAAACACAGTGATATCTCGAATACCAAGAATTTATTTGACTAAGCAAGTTGGAATTACCTACCATATTTTCTCTACTTATTTTAATCTTGATATCTAGAATCCTCAGATATCTCCTAACTTTTTCTTGGTCCTATCAAGTTCAGAATAGCATGGTTTGACTGTTAATGTTTTTGAAATATGGAATGTGTTTTTCTTTTTTCAGCTTCAGATTGTCCCATTTCATTTTGCCATAGTTGGATTGGATAGAAATAAAATAGGCCTTTTATGTCAACTTGCAGAGGTAGTTTTCTTCTTAGTCTCTATATTAAAGTTTCACACTATTGATTGTGCCCACCCAGCATGGCTTGGGAATTCATTTCATAAGAAGTCTTGTTCTCTATAAAATTTCATCTTATATTTCAGATCAGTAAACTTCTTACATGCACAAAAGAATTTAGTGAGACCTCTTTAGAAAGTCTGCAGAACCAAACTGATACATACTTGCAAGGACTCAGGAATCATGTACCACAACTGCAGCAGAAAGTCAAAACACATCTTTCTGTTCATATAGTAAGTCAAGCTATGGTTATTAATTGTAACTGCACCGTCAATATCTTCTTCATATGCATTAATCAGTAATATTTTGTTTTCACCATTTTTGTTCAATTGATAAATTACATACACTCCCCTTCCTCCATCAGACCAGCATTACAAGCACGTCAAATGCTTACAACTCTATTCAAAATTTGTGGTAATTTTAGGTAGATGACATATTTACACATGGCCCCATGGATTGCTATAAGGAAGATGCATTTGAAAAAATGCATAGTCGCATTCGTGACCAACTGTTCAAGCAAAATTTGCATGCCAGGAGCAGAGATACAGCTAGTGCTTTTGCTGAAATGGAGATACTTAACCATGTCATAACAGGTGGCTATTTCCCTAATGGAGAGGAATGGTGAGAACTTACATTAATTTGCATTTGCTTAAAAGTAAACTAAATTTCTCCTATATTGCACATTATCTACTTGTAAACATTTACACAGAAACTTAATTTCATTATTTAAGTAAAGTAAATGGTCAGCAGGCTACTGAAAAAAGTGTGACAGCTGATCAGGGATGGTCCACTCCAAATGTGTAATGCAACCCTAATTGCACACATTTACAGTAACTTAATTGACTTCCAAGGGATTCATTAACAATGTTTAGACATATATATACAAGCCATTTGCCTAAGTTCGAAATGTGGACTTACATTAATTTCTAAAAGCTAAAATCATTGAAATATGAAACCATAAAAACAATTAGAGGTGGAAAAATTGTAATATTTAAATACCGTTAAGTAAATCTTAGTAGATGAGACTCGACTCTTTGGTAAGTGGCTGTTGAAAAAGTTGAACTTGAATTGATGCCACAATTCTTGCTTTGAAGATTGCATACAGTTTATTTGATTTATAATTTCATTTTTGCATTATGGTTATTCATAGGCTGCAAGCATCAGGGTCTGTTCAAAGTACAGCTGCCTGTAAAGAGGTGAGGCAGTTTTTGGCACTACCTGACGAGTCAACCTCTACCACTATAAAGCTAAGAAAGACAATGGAGAGGCAAAATGGATCGTTGGTGTGGGAGTTCATTGATGACGAAACCGTTCATATGTTGTCATTGATTTTCAATGATACTGATTTCACTGGGGCCAAACGAAGCAAATTTTATTCCATAAAGACCCAATCAGAACAGCTGGTCAACAAAGGAGCCTCCATTTTACACAAAGTAGATGACAATAAGGTAACAAAAAGACAGTGTTGAAAAAAATTATGATTGGTAAAAGTTGAAAATTATGTATTATTCAAAAGATTTTTCCCAGTCAGACATAATCATAATATGATATATTTTTATGTAGGAATTCCTAAAATAATTACAGCTCTTATTCAAATAGTCAACATTTCAAGACCATTACTTTGAATACTTCGTTCTCCTTGAAGAGAACTTTATTTATAGTTTCTGGTTGGTTACGAATTTGGCTTTGATATCTTAATTTTCATAAAAAATGTAGGAAGAAGTTGGTTTATTTGAAGAGGGATAGCTCATATCAACTGCTGAAGGCATGCATTTTCACCTGGCAAAGATCTTCAGAGTAACACCATTGAAAAACTCAAGACTGAATGATATAGCCTTGGAGAGAGTTGCTATTACACAAGATTCTGTA